TCAGATTTTCAAGGTATTTGAAAACAAAATGATGCCTGGTAGATAACTATTTTAGTTTTACAATTTCAGTTTTACCCTATATAGAATCACACAATTATCTCAGAATGGACGGGTAGCATTCGATTACTGCAGATACCTCGTGTGGGATTTAATGTAAAGATTCATCGTAGTGTTAATTTCTGTAGACAAACCGAGTACTCAAATATCACACAAGGCCATATTAGTAAACAGAATTTTGTTTGCTTCAAAATTCACATTTTGTTCCCGAGCATACACTCGTATGATGCATGCATTAAAAGATGATAAATTTTAGTGTTTTATTAATCAAGTGCAATTATTCTTGTCTAAGACAGATTCATGTAGAAAGATGGTTATTGTATTAATAATATCCTATCGTCGTTCTGTAAAAAAAAGATCCACGAAGGCAATTATTCTGAATGTATGTCCATGTATTCACATCAAAACGTATTTCATGTAGTACACGGCTCAGTTATTGTACTTAAATCTGTTACGGGGGTCGTTGAACAATGTGAAAATGTGTAACCCAGATACTTCAGCCAGTGGTGATGCTGGTTTGGAAGACGATGCTGGCTAACTCATTGTAAAAGGAAAAAGATTCTAAACTAGGCGTTGTGTGGAATATGGAGAATCTTGAGGGATCCTTTGTCAGGCTGGTCCTGAACTTTTTGTCGGAAGTTGTGGATCGAAAATACATCCAGTTCATTGACTGGTTGCTACGAGACATATATGTTGATGGAACTGAAACGTCAGTAGCATTATATGTGTGACAAACTCTTCAATAATGCACCATTATGCATGTCTTTGGAAAATAAATTGATTTTATGTCTATATATTATTCACATCTTTGATCATTGATTTAAATTGATTATAATTATTGATAATGACATACATTGATCAGATATATTGATCATTACTTAAATTGATCATATTTATTGATAATTACAAACATTGATCATAAGGAAATGTTATGTGCGACAAGCTGCGACAAATAAAGGTGTTCATACCTTTGGTAGAAAGCGATATACTTGGCGGCTATTTAAACAACTAAATTGAATATAGTATAACTTAAAGCACACATTCTTGCTAAGATCAAACATAGTTGGGTGCACAACGTAAGGTAAGTTGACTACAACGATACCCATTAGCGATGCACTCTTAGACTACCTTTTTGCTTTATATCTACATTATGTACAGAGAATATGAATATCAGACAGACAGAGCACTGTGAATAGCTTTTAAATTAGAAAAGTAAGTAAATGAAAACCAAAAACAATGTTTATCTTAAAAATAATAATTTTGTTAAGACTAGGACTGTCTTTGATTTTATAGTTAAATCTGTTTAAATTCATATGCAGGTGCAAAAACTTACAATCTCAATTATGGTAGTCTATGCTGCATTCAGATATATAGAGACTGACCTATAACCCCACTTAAACTCACCTTTGGGAAACTTTAAAAAATATGCTCAGCAAAAACAAATACAATAGATACAAATTATTTTCATACCAGCGTTGCGCGAAATTTCGTCATTTTCAAGTGCAATTTATCAACGCAATAACGTTGCGGCTTTGAGTAATTGCCAAATTTGAAACACTGTTTTAAGCAGTCCAAACAAACATATATAATTGCCAAATATGAAACTGTTTTCTTAAAACCAGCACAGCCTATACATATTAGCCAGCAATACTGGGATGCCTAAAATAGTGTCTGTAACTTTGATCCCAGTAGAATATCAACTGTAATCTTTATCATAACAAAATTATTTGGCCTCATTCTTATTGAAAACTGGGGATTTACAAACCTTATGAATTTCTCCGCAGATAAGTCGCATCACTGAAACACTGAAGCCATCAGTATTAAGCTGAATTGGCTTACATGAGACTCATAACGAAATATGGAAAAGTCATTTAGTTGAAAAGGGATCTTTTATGAATGCGTAAAAGCACAAGTACGTTAAAAGTGTATTCCAAAAAATTAAAATTCAAATATATTTCGATTATTTGCCTTCAAACCTTAAAATGGCTCGTTAAAGAACTTTTCGCAATTGCCAGTGTTTTCAGAAATTTTATTAATTATAAGATTAATCCAAGTTTGTTAATCCGTTTGCTCCGGTATTAGTGTTTATCCCTTTCTGCAGTTATTAGAGTATTCAAATAATGAATATATCGTTTCAGATAAATATTTGAAAATGTTTTACATGCACCTAGGAGTCTTTTGATGTTCATCCATTCATTTTCATTTACCCCGCATTGTGCTACATTTTGGTTATTGCATAAACTTTTCATCCAGCCATTGACGTGTTAGCTTTATACCACCAAGTAGGACAACACAATAAGTGTATGATATAAAACTGTTCTAATTAATAATGTTGTACCTAACTTATTCAGGGGGCAGGGGCCAGTTGTTATGTACAAATTTAATGCCGCAATCAGTGATCTAGTACTAAAAATCATTAAAAATCAAATACACAAGTGAGGTCAAGTATGTCCATATTTTGAGATACCTATATTAAAACAAAGCATAAAAATATTATCCACTTGACCAGAGAAGTCAGTGCCAGTTCATAGCAGAAGAAGTTTATGCACCCCAACCCCAAATTTATACCTGCACTTTTTATGTCCGAAGGTCATTTTTGACACCATGTGGTACTCACAGTGCAAACACAAGCCCTTTTCCTAGTGTGTACTAAACAGGCTGATGCAGTTGAAAATAGTTGTCATCCAAGCAGTTTTTGAGATATGCTCCTTGTCCCAAACCCACATGTTTACTGCTATGAGAGGCTAGCTCTTCTTCCTAGACAACTATTGGTATTTCACTATCAACATATTGCAGAGTAACTATGGAAGGTGTACATGCCTGACATCAATTTCAAGAACAACACAAGCCCGAAACACGTAGTTCACAAATATATCCATATCTTTAATTAGTAGACAATAATTGCTGAAAAAGTCACACCATAGCCTTAAATTTAAAAAAACTTGCCAGGGGCCAAATTACGAAACTGTACCCTGCCTCCTTAAATCATCCCCATTGTCTGTCAGATCACGTGCAAACTGATCACCGTTATGGATACAGCAACTTGATCTATAAAAGTTTGGAAAGGAAGTATATAATTAATTGCTGTTTCTGGCACACTAGAACATTGTTTTGAAGAAAACAAACTCGATGGTAGTGTGTTCAGAAATCAGATTTCCTGAAAATTGGTATGTAGAGTCGAAATTAGTTTGCCTCATTATCAATACCATTTAGGACAGAGTTACGAGAAAATGTGTAGCAATCTTAAAAGACGTATAATAGTGCAGTCCTATTTCGTATAGTGGCAACGGAATTTGTACGGTACAATTATAAATTTGAATACCATGATCTGTATTATGCTAAGGTATTTCCTAAAGAGGTTTGCAGAACATTGGGTTGGGGTCCAATTTATGATATAGTCTAGTGTAGATTCTGCTATTTTGCTACCGAAATGTCGCTGTTAGATAAATTAAGATGGCATAGGTGCTGCAACTGTGGTTCAGACACGTCAGCAAACGTATAAGAAAGGCTAATACCAAATGACAACATTACAGAGACTGTGCAATCAGAAAGCAGCTTGATTCTGAATGATAGCAACATTATTTCTATGTGGTGGAAAAATGTGATGACTTCACATATAATTGCTTATGTACTTTAACCAAGATATATATATTAATAAGTTCCGATCAAGTTTGTTAAGATGCAATGAAGAAAGGATTATGACAATAAATGTCTCTAGCATAGAGATGGGACTTGCGTGACGCAATCACAGTTTACTTCCATTATGTCCGAGCTGTATGGGCTGAAGTTTTTAAATGTGAAAATTCTGAGTAACAACAAATTAACCCTAATTATCTTTGGTTCTTATGTCAGGTAATTAATATCTCGTTAACTGTCTTCACAGTTTCAATAAATGCCTTATATGAAACTGACGTATTCTTGGTTGTACATTGCCGTGGATTTCTGCGGAAGAGTGGCGCAGTTTCAGAGATAGATTCAACTTTGTGGTAGAAACAGAGGCAACTTTAAATATGATAAGTGCATCACAGTGTCAAGCCCATGGATGTTTTTTTTTTACATGGCTGTCATCAGATTCATAACAAAAATGAAAGCACGATGGAATGGCCTTCATCTCTCATAGTAAACGACTTAAATTACGACGTTCCAACTGTGGAACGAAGTGGGGTAACTACTTACCTCGTCAACCATTTACGGTGATATAATCGTACAATTTTCTTCACACCTCATAGACTGCGAAAGTATGGGGGACTGCATAATTAATTTTCATGTCATAAGGAAGAATCGCTTAAGGATGTTAAATAATGTACTCCTTTGACTACTGAACAGCGTCATCAGCTAGGACAAATAAGCAAAGAGCTACGTTCTTTTTTAACTGCTATACCAGAATTGACAGACTAGTTTACATCGCGTATGCACAACACGCGAGAAATACATAAGCCAAAAAGTATACAAACTATCATTTGCTTGACGTCAAGATATACAAACTTGCCTTGAATGAAAAGCTGCATCAAAGGCTGACAACTCTGTAAACACCACCTTATTCATCTCTAATAGTAGTGGTGAGAAAGTGAATATGTGTGGACTGTCTAAATATCAATGAGAATACATCGTTGGATGCATATACAACTCCACACAGGAATTATATATTTGAAGAACCGGGAAATATTAAGTATTTGATCTCAGAGGACATTTCTAAAGATTACTTTAACTTCCACAGAGGAACGACGCTCAGGAAAAATCAGGATACGTTACAAAATTAGGTTGTGTCATTTAGAAAGTACCCTATTCTTCGACATGAAAACGCACCTCCAATGCAGACATGTAGCATGATGCCCCACTCGGACACATTATCCTGACACCAGACGACCAGTACTAACACTAACCTCTTAATGCTGAGCTTCAAGCTAGGAAGCTATTAGTACCATTTTTGCAAGTCTTTCGCATGACTCAACCGGGGATAGAACCTACGACTTCCCGCATCCTAGGCGGACGCTCTAACCACTAGGCCTTCGGAGCGGTGTATGTCTTTGCGAACTGGATTTGTAACGTAGCTTTAACAGTTTTTCAGTCCTATCGTTACCATGTCTGCAGTGTGGCCATTTATAGTGATGGTTATCACTGGGACTTCATTCCAGAGACTTGTAGCATTATGTCCCGCAGTCACGTTATCCTAATAATATCAGGAAGACCCGTCCTAACGCTAATATGTTAATTCTGAGCGCCAAGCAAGGCAGCTACTAGTATCATTTTTATAAATCTTTGTAATGACTCTTCTTTGGTTCGAAACCTAGACCTACTGCACTAGAGTCTGACACACTAAACACGTTGCTAACCGGAGCAGTCAGTGTTTTATATTTCCCTCTACCAGTACTGTAGAATTCCCATTACTAATATCGCCTTTGACAGATACCAGTGACAGATCGAATAGCTTCATTTTTGGGCAGTGCATAAATGTTAAAGAAAATTCATATGCTTATTTCAGCAAACTCCTTCCAAGAGAGTGGTATTATGCTATTTTCTTATTATCTGTGTTATCGAAATGTTGTGCAACTACCGGAATGGAGATGCATTCATGGCTGAAACAGACCAGAACCCATTAGTCTGATTTCATCATGTGAAGGAGATGAAAAAGAATGTTACGCTGGTCTCTTGCCATTCAGCTGTGCAATTTTAAGATTTATTACCGGCATGGGAAAGATAAATCGGTTCTGACAGTCTTTCAAAAATATGATTAAAATTCTCTACTGAATTGTGAAAATATGCAAAAGCGTATATGTTTATGCTTATTTCATGTTCGAACTATGTACACGATAGATCAGTGAAAGATCTGAGAAAATTTCGTGACCATCTGATTTCTGCTCAGTGGTATCATGATTACAAGTGAAGTATAATGCCGTGTGGAAGTATAATGCCGTGTGGAAGTATAATGCCGTGTGGAAGTATAATGCCATGTGGAGGTATAATGCCGTGTGGAGGTATACTGCCGTGTGGAAGTGTAATGCCGTGTGGAAGTATAATGCCGTGTGGAAGTATAATGCCATGTGGAGGTATAATGCCGTGTGGAGGTATACTGCCGTGTGGAAGTGTAATGCCGTGTGGAAGTATTTAGATTTTACAATGAAATTAAATGAACCCTTGCTTCTGTAACATAGACAATTTTACTATTATGTCAAAACTATTTGTTAACAATTTTGTCTTAAGAGGTGGATGTCAAAATATCGTTTTGAAATGCATTATAACAGCACAGATTTCTAGTATATCTGTTAAAGAAAATCAAAGATTCTTTAAACCTTGACAGACAACAGAAAATACAAAAACAAAATATAATCCATAACTACTGAAACACGGGAAATAGATGCAAATAGCTGCTGAATAATATTTTACAAACCAGTTGATTTAAGTAAACGATGACTCACATCATACTTTTGAACAATGTTGTACAAAAATAGCTATTAGAGTAAATTATTTGCCAGAGACACGACTCTACTGGGCTCGCGACCGAAAGAGTGCAGGCTTGAATCCAATAATGGAACAAGCCCGTTGGAGACAATGGAAGCACAAAATGTAGACATATGAGTATGCACACACTGAGTTTATTGTATCTGACATACATATGGAAACACTGCGTATTTTAAACGAAGGGATTAAAATATACACATAAATGTGGTATTGCTTACGAAACCAGAGTGAAAAAGTAATATATATTGTTGCTTACGAAAACAGAGTGTAAGAGTATATTCAAAATATATCAGTTAACAAGAAAAATGTGCACATGAAAAATCGTTATAGGACGAATACAATATCAGTGATGCCCAAGCTAAGGAAATGCATAATATCACAAGAAATATCAGAAACACAATACTGAAAGATATTGACGAATAAATTTAGTATCCAACCCCACATTCACTCCTGTCTACGCCTTGGGTTTTCATAGTTTCACCAAATTTGCATAAAGTTTGTCTGTCATAAGCTGCGTTCAAAGTTCCATGTTGTAAAACTGGCTTGTTCCTTATTTAAGTTTCATCTTGCTGTTAATATGAATTGCGCTGTTTGTGGAATCTTAAACATCAACTTACTTTACGTTAGTTTTTCAAAGAATATTTCAAGTCAAGTGATTTATTTATCTACTCTAAATGTGGCTTTGACCGCTACAGTGGCCTAGTGGTTAGAGCGTTCGCCTCGGATGCGGGAGGTCGTTGGTTCTATCCCCAGCCCAGTCATACCAAAGACTTTCAAAAATGGTAATAACAGCTGCCTCGCTGCTTGGCGCTCAGCATAAAGAGGTTAGTGTTAGGACTGGTTGGTCTGGTGTCAGGATAATGTGACTGGGTGGGACATCATGCTATACATATCTGCAACGTGATGCCCCAGTGCTAGACATCACTATAAACTGCTACACTGCAGACATCGCAGAGATATGACTGAAAAATTGCTAAATCAACGTGAAAAATCACAACAACTATCAGTGGCTTTAAATAAATTATAACAATTGCAGATAAAGCGAAATGTTTAAAGAGCTCTTATTACCCAAGTTAAGTCTTTAGGTGGCAGTCACACACACACATACACACATAATACACACACACACACACACACACATATATATATATATATATATATATATATATATATATATATATATATATATATATATATATATATATATATATTAAGAGAGGAAGAGAATAAACTTAAATCTTGCTCTATGCCCATTGCTTACACGACGTCAAACATGAATAAATCTTCAGATAGTTCAATGTTGTCCATTTAAGTGCTCATTTTTGATCTCACTAACAGGTTTGGGTAGAATTAACACAAAACACTTATGCGGAAAAGAATATTCATATTTTTATATTCGTAACTATGGACATGAACGCCCAAGTAAAACAAATCTATTTGACCCTATCTTCCGTGTCATCTGCAGGCTCTTTAGACTCAAAAAGCCTACCTGAAAGTACATGTTATAATAAATAACGTTTAAAGTTAAGTGGCATGTTAGTAAAATTAACGTGTAAATTTCAATGTAGCTATCTGCTCACAGTAAACAAAGGCAAAAGTTCTTAGCATTATCTGCCATACCCTTTCATTATACTGAAAAACCTTAGCTGTTAGCTGCTAAGACATGTCAGTTATTTATATAAAAGAATCGTTTGTATCGTAAATATTCGATGATCGAATACTACAACTAAGCATCGTATACTTTGGAAATAACTGATTTAATGTATAATCGGAATGGCTACTTAATATATAATCGGAATGGCTACTTAATATATAATCGGAATGGCTACATGTAAAGTATACCTCAATATTTTTATACGAAATTTGTTGTTTTTCTGTATAAAACAAAACGTGTTTGAGATGGCCTAAAAATGTATACGACTGTTTTCAAATCTTGTATATATAATTATAAACCATTTATGTAGTGTATATACATTTAATGCGCATGAAATTAGGAACTCATATAAGCAAGTGTCATCGAACTTTCTGTCGATCATGTCCTCAAGATACACATTGGATGATAGAGTGAGGGACCACATAGTTGGGAAATAGTGAGTGATATCGAGGGGGATTATCGCCATAACTCTATGCATATATTTTCTAATCTTCCTTGATGCATTATTATAAATGTCTGCTTGCAAGCGCTACTTTCATAATTCTATCTATGTATATTGTATTCTCCATTGATGCAAATTGTATGTGGCAGTTTGCAAGAGCCACTTTCCTTCTGCATTGTTTTAAATGTATGCTTGCAAATGCTATATTCCTACTAATTCTAGTCGTGACTTTTTGTTCTCCATTGATACAAGCTGTAAATAGCTGTTTGCAAGTGCTTAGATCTACTTTCAATCTGCGTCATTGCATCTTGCAATTGTCCAATTGCTGAGCTGATTCTGCTGTTTATCATATGTCAGTTATTACAAGTTTTGTTTATATACTTGACATATTACAATTACACCATTCCAACAACTGTTTTAATACAGATGTGGCTTTGCTACAATGTTAATACCAAGTTTTATCAGTATCGTTTGTGTTGTCCAACTCGTGTCGCATCTGTTGTCATTGTTTATTAGAGATTAGCATGACATTATGACAACAGATGGCGCTCTAAATTTCTAAAGTTTTTTTTTTCATTACTAGAAATAATTGCTGCTCCCCACTGATCTTTACGGCATTCATTCTGAGTCGATACAATCACAATCTGTGACTCTTTTTCAGTGTACTTTTTCACTTTTCACAAAGTTTTAATCGTTCTCTAAAACCATGTACTTTCGTGAAAATCTAAGTGATTTATATAGTACCTTTCGAAAACAAAAACGCATACACTACAGCACGGTTGTCCATCAACACCAGTTATGACGCACTTACTTTCACCGTTTAAGAAAGCTACTTCTTAGTTATATCTCTCATTACTTTGGAAACATTAGTTATTTCGCACAGTAAAGATCAGAAATGACAATGATATATTCCCTCGTACTCTTTTCCTAATGAGCTTTCATCAGACGACCCCTGGTTGTAAGGATCGTATTGTACGTCACCCATTTTGACGCATGTCACAAACGTCTATCTTTCCCTGTAATACTACTGTACATAAGCTGTGGCAAACTAATTTATTTCAGAGCAGCATCAATATCACATCAAAAAAATGTTTATATGTAAAATGACATTTAAAAATTAGGCATTCCAAAAGGTTTTTGTATTCTTATCACAATCTTCATTTTGGAACATATTTTGTCGCCAAAGCCCAAGTAATTAAATAGTGGAAAATGTGTTTGTATCATGAAAAAAGGTTTACTTGCGATTAGAGGTATTATATTTAGGGTACGATTGTCTTCCAATACTTAATTTACATTGTTAATGTACAGAACTTCAACCTTTGAATGTATTTATAACAAAAAACCAAAGAAACCAGTACAAAGAGCCTTATATCTGGTTTGCATTCTTTAAAACGTTTGTCTATAAAAGTGAGACAAAAGACAATGTTACAGGAGGTTTTACGTTTATTTCATACAATTTTT